AATATATTTATGTTTGTGGTTGTAATGTGACAAAATATGGAAAAGTTCAAGGGGTATGAATACTTTTGCAAACCACTGTATGTTTTCAATCTCTGGTCTAAATCTGTCCATAACCTTTTTCCCCCTCAGTAAATTTAGCGTTCTCATGTCGACTCGTAACATATTGACACGCGGGCACACCGTGCCCAAGCGTCCATCTTTGCCGCCTGCGGCTTTTCCGGGTTGCGTCACAGGATTAACAGTTAACTTTAGGGTCTGTGTTCAGGGACTCGTCCTCATCCGCCTCATCTCGTACAGAACAGATGCGTGGGACGTGGGGGGGCATTAGACCGGGCTCGAAAATTTCATAAGCTTTCTAAGTGGCGGAGGTTTCATGAGGCCAGAGAAAGACACAAAGAATAAATTGTGCCGAGGTGTGTAGAGGTGGGTGGTGATAGTAGCTGTTGTGTTCACAATTTCTGATCCGGTCGTAACTTTGTTCACCTACATAAATTAATTAAGCTTGTATAAAGTTCATAAGCGGGGCTGTGTGGGGGTGGGGTTGGCTCAAAGTGTCGACAGCCTCCTCTGAAATCCTACCAAAAAGCGTGATTTCATTTGTGTTTAAAATGTCACAATCTTTGCAAGGGTGATCAGTTCCCTCTCCGGCGTCACAGAAACAGCCATCTTGTTGCTTGACTTTTGACCATGTTAGTCACCGCTGGAGTCTCACACCCGTCTCGGTTCTGTAGCAGGCATGTCCAACCCATCTCAGGAGTGCTCGATCTGTAATTTAATCTCTGCACGGGATCTCTAATGATAGAAAGTATGTCCAGAACTTAAACCCACATGATTAATAAGACAACACCATGTTCTGTAAAGAGATCTCTGCAGGTGTTTTAAAGCTTGTGAATGCAACCATTGTCTCTTATGTCATTGCAAAAGTTACAATCTTGAACTTTGAAAAAAAGTGTATAAGTTTTATTATTAAAGTTATTTCAACTTGAAAAAAAATTTTTTTTGCTTTGACTTTTATGTTTTCCAAAGAAGCAAACATTATGGCGCTGATGTAGTTCCATAGCATTTAACTTTAATTCACTCAGTCTGATGCAGATCTGAGATTTGTAAGGGTCGGCATGACTTTCAGGCACAAAACCACTCAGACTCTTCTCCTTCTCCCATCAGGATTCGTGTCTCCAGTCCTATATCTCCCACACCCCCACTCCCTTTCACACCACCCTTACATCCAGGACAGTATGATTTGTACTGTTTTTCCTGCTTTTAAAGGTGAGATTTCTGGAATGAAAGATTTACCGTTCAGGTTGGTGAAGCCGATGGAGAAAGTTTTTTCTTGTGGAGTTGCATATTCTCCTTGTTTGTCTGCTTCGTGTGTGAGACTCTGAAAGTAGGAGGAGAGTGGAGAAGTGATGTGAGAGAGCAGACGTGTTCATTTCAGATATCAGACCAGCTGAAGCAGAAACAAACAAATACACAATATATTCCACATTAACCAAAAGCTAGTATTGTAATTTTTTTCTTCAAATTTTATGCAGTGGAGTTTTCAAAAAAGGATGCATTTTTATGTGATATTGAATACAGACATTTGACAATAATTTAAATCTTATAGTCAGAAATAGAAAATGGACAATGATAATGAAGAAATTTATAGTTATTAGAGGTTAGTATGTTAAAAGCACAACACAATGTTTTTAGGTTTTCCTTTTTATAATGTTTAATCTATTATGTGTTGATTGATATAGATTAGTTACATGTCCGAAATATCTATAACAACACATATTTAACTGTTATGAAAACAGTAGGTGAGAATTGTGTATGAATGCCTGTGATTCAGCCGTAGGTCAGTAGGGGGCGAACGCAGGCATTGAAGACTCTGTATAAATGGATCAACTTCCTGGTTTGCGGGCAGTGAGTGGTTTCCTGTCAGCACCGGTGACAATAAACCCCCACTCCAGAATTCTGGTTTTGTATGGTTTAATTCCGTCTAAAAATCATATTATTTAACAGTGGTGGTTTTCTATTGACTTCAGTCTTTGAACACAAATATTTCTTACAATACTATACGCACTTCCACATGTTTAACATGTTCTTAACAATCTGCTATACAATGAGTAGCATGTGGGTTGTATAAGAAATTAGTCCAGTCCAAATGCAGTGACTTAGCACCTGCAGCAAGATCGAACCCCGAGGGTGCAGACAGGCACGAGGAATCAAACAGAAGAATCTTTATTAATGAAAAAGCTGACGTGGCAGCAAAAACTAACACAAACTAAACACAAGGACACAGGGCGATAGCCGGGGTGAAACCAAACAATGAACGGACGAGGAACTGGTGAAGGAGGACTGGATGAATAGAGCAGAGGAGAATGGAAAACACCTGAGTGATTACTGAACAGGGACAGGTGTGAGAAGAGACACAGCTGAGAGAGAGAGAGAGAGAGAGAGAGAGAGAGAGAGGGGGGGGGGGGGGTAAACAAGAAAACTACAGAACACAGAGAGACTATGACAGACTTCATGTTTGATGTTTTCATGGTGCTCAGATGTAAATCACAGTCTACCTGCTGTAAAGAACAGGTGTCAAGCATTTCTTTGCTTTGGACATGTTTGTTGTTGTGATTGTAATGAAAATGGGAGATGATGGTTGATCTCAACTTAATTACAGCAACTAAGGCCTGAGACCATCATAGCAACATAACAATGTGAACAACAGCAACATTTCAGGAAGCTCTATCTAATGG